TAAAGTGAGTTGTTTTAGACAGTATTCCAAAAGTTACCGTGCTATGAGTAGATTTTTAGTAAATAATTTGTGCACTTATTGCTCGAACTTTGAGCGGAATCTGTCTTAATTAATTATTTTATGCCCTAACTGAGCGAAATCTTCCTTATTATCATGACTATATTGTGTGTTTCAGTGATTCTTGGTAAATCACATTACGTTCTGTTTAATCTGGTGTCTGCCATGCAACCAAGAATGTTGGTGACATTTGACACTGATCTGCGTCCTTTGCCCGTCTCTGTGAGAGTTGGCCAGGTGAGTGGACTCTTTCAGCAGTTGTGATTCCCATCTCTTATGTGACTAGTTGTCACATAAGTCGTTCAACAGATGTGAGTCCATTACTGCTATGTAACATTGCTCACCTTATTGTAAAAAGAGTGGTGCTTCTATAATTTTAGCTTCATTTAAGTCAAACATTGAGATGGAAAAGTCCATTATGTACAAAATTGATAGCACTCTGACATATTCAGTCGACTCGTGTGCCTGGTCCTCCCATACCCCTTGTACACAAGCTGTGGAAACACTCAACTGTCGCCTGCCGACTCGTATTCCCACAGCATTTCTCATTCTCCCAAACTTCCACTCGTGTTTCTATTAAACAATTAGATTATGAGCCAGATTACTATCGCGTGATAGTTGACGAGGGCGCACCATCACGCATAGAAATGGAGAGCGAATAATCTTATTGTTTTAGTATAAATCTACTAGTCGATCAAAACTTTATCCAAATCCTCTTCACGGACACTTAGAAAATGCCAAGAAGCGGCCTTCATTTTGTTTACAAGGGCACACTGCTACGTTACTCACTATCTATCACAGAATGGATAGTGAGTAGCGTAGCCAATCAGAGAACGACATTAGTGATAGAACGCTAGTAGATTTATACTACAACACGATAGAAACACGGGGAACATGTCTTCTATTTGTTAATTAGAGGAAGGAAAGATTTCTTACCTATGTGATATCATAATGTTTTTTGCTGTCTTATTGCAGGCAGTTGATGTAGTGGGTCAAGCAGGAAAGCCCAAGACAATAACAGGATTTCAGACTCACACTACACCGGTGTTGCTTGCATATGGAGAAAGAGCAGAGTTAGCCACCGAGGAATGTATCCTTTGTAGTTTTGTCACAACAAACCTAATAGTAAATTGTTATTATCTGTTATTGAAGTTAATTGGTAATTAGCTTGCTGGATATTTCACCTTCATTTTGTCCTGTGAGGTTTACATAAAGAATTATATTTTCCGCAGGAGTGCAAAATAAACCAATTCCAGCACTTATCTCGAAGAATAAATAGGTGAAACATCATCTTATATTTGAAATGTGTGCAAAAGATTTGAAGACGTGATAAATCGCTGTAGTTATGAATGCAACTTGCATTAATTTGTAGGGAATTCAAACCCATGACCTTTGCAATGTCGTTGCAAGGTCTTACCATCTGAGCTAACAAAATGCAAGTCAATGGGGAGCTGGTCAGCCTTGTCCAGAAGAAATATTGTGTTCGTTGATGCCATATAATAAACCCTTGACCAAGCTTGTTGAGTCGAGATGACTGGATATTGCAGCCATCTTTGCAGCTGGAGGTTTGGGCTTTGGGGCGGGGGGTGAGAGAGAGAGAAATAAGAGTGTGTGTTGATTCAGGTTTGTGATAGAAAAGGGCGTGGTCAGTTTAGTATACAAATGAGAACACCTTTTGAATTTTCCTGTTAAAGTTAATATTCATTGAGAATAGCAGTTTATACGATGAGGCCAACTAGCAGAAAACATTTTTTTTTTTTTGCGTTTCGGCGGCGCTAGACCTTACAACAGCTATTCAGTAAGTATAGGTCATCATATTTTGCTTAACAGTGTATGAACAGATATTTCACTGGCACCGATAATGGAGGGTTTTGTTATCTTGAAGAAGAATCCAGAATACGAGAAAACAGAGAGCTGAG